AGGTGAGGTCCAGAACTCGTAAAACTGTTGACCTTGCACACAGTTCTCCTCAGCCGAGTCCTTGCTCTAGGCACGAGGGGCAGTTCTTTCATACTCAGCTTGTGTTAACTGCACGGTTCCAGCATTACAGAACACTCTTCCTTAATTTCATGCAACTGGTGTTTGAAATAGATGTGCATTGATCCTTAAATGATTACCTATTGGCTGCTTACGTTTTTTTGCTTGTTTTTTGTTTATTTATTTTTTTGTTTTTGAGAGGTTTTTTTTGCTATAGGGCGCATGAGCTGGCCAGACAGACAGAGAGAGGACAGAGAGACAGAAAGCGAGATATCACCCCCCAGGGGGGATGGCCACGCCACAATCCCTTCTCCTCCATTCTCCTCTAGGGATTTTGGGCATGCACGCATACATGCCCGACTTAACTTTTAAACCACTAGGTCCAGGACGCGAACCACGGTCGACTACGTGGGAGTCCAGCAACATAACCATTATGCTAACTGCTAGTCCCTACTTACATTATTTTTTTTTTTTTTTTTTTTTTGCTATAGGGCATATGTACTCACCAGAAAGAGACAGAGAGGGAATGAAAGTATGAAATCACCCTGCAGGGCAGATGGCCATGCCACAGTTTCTTCCCCTCTATTCTCCTGGGATTTGGGACACACAAGCACATGTGCCTGGCATGCTTTTCAAACTGCTGGTTCTGGGACTTCTGGAACTTCTGCAGAGTTGGCCACGTGGGATCTAGCACCTTAACCACCACATTACCTGCTGGCCACAAGGGATCCGCTTTTTAAGAAATTGATTAGTTGATATCTATATAGTGAAACTTTCCATTTTTATTTTCTTTGTGTTCAATATAAAGGAACTCCTATGTGAATGTGTGTTTGTATGTGTGTGTCTTGTGTATTCACACAGGTATTTCTGCTTCTTATTATTCTTAATTTACCTAGCTCTCCTAGCTAAATGGTATTTAAACTCCCTAGTCAACTTTGCTTGAAAAATATATTTTTGTATATCTTTCTTTAGTAGATATATATTTAGCCCCTAATAAATGACAGTTATTGTTTAGGGTAGTGTTGATAATTAAAATACAAGATAAATAAGAATCCCTATTCACAAAAAACTCACATTCTTGTGAGAATAAGACAAAGAGAGAAAATAATCAGGAAGAAAAGTGAAATGCTATTGTGGAGAGTAAGGAATGTTTTGGACAAATAATAAAATAGGAAGTGGAGATACCAAATCAGAGAGGTTTCATAATATTATGTAAGAATGTCAGGAATGTTTTCTGTAGAGAAGGATATTCATGTAAGACCTGAATGAGTCCTTAACTAATTATTTTAAATAAAATATATAATCATATATAATTAATAATTTATATATATTCAAATAAATTATTGTGTGTTTCTAAATATTTCTTATATTCTTTTTTTTGAGAGAGTTTTTTTTTTTTTTTTTGCTCTGGGTCACATGTGCTCACTGGAGAGACAGAGAGAGAAAGAGAGGCAGAAAGTGAGAAGTCACACCCTGGGGGGGATGGCCACACTACAATCCCTTCCCTTCTTGGAGTTTTGGGCACACACGTACACGTGCCCCGCTTGTGTTAAGCTACTGAGTCCAGGATTCGAGCCACGGTCCACTATGTGGGAGTCCAGCAATGTAACAATTATGCCATGCCCTGGTCCCAGAATTTTCTTATATTCTTATAATTATAATTTTAATGCATCATTTCTGAGTTTAGGCTGTTTTATATTTAGTAAGTATAGAATTTACTTTTTTCTACTTTGAAATAACTTTATTCTTTAACGATACCATGTCACTTATCTGTAGCCTTTCAACAAACTGCTCCAAAACATAAAAGCTAAAATAAAAACAGTTTATTATATGTCACTGTGTTTTAGGTTATGAATCTTAGCAGAGCTCAGGGGAGTGATTCTTTATGTTCTGGTGTGTGTGAGGATTGAAGTATTCAGCTGAGAGATGGGCTGACCTGATCAGGAAGACTGGAGATGTTTTCATTCAGAAGTCTGCTTTGGAGCGGGTGGCTGCACAGCTGGTCTCAACTGGGATTGTAGACCATAGTGTTTGCACATGGCCTCTCCAGTGCCATCATCAGGGGGTAGTGAAACATCTTACGTGGTAGCTCTGGAGCCCCAAAGAGGATGTCTCAAGAGATGAGAAGTCAAACCTGAGGGCTGGCAGTGACACAATAATAAAGCAGCTGGGCCTACCTGGGAAAGGTCTTGAGTTTGCGTCATAGCCCAGGACCTCATAAGTCACACTGAGCATGTGTACATGTGTCTCTGAATTCAATCCAGGCTGACTGGGAGTCAATCAAGGCATAGGAACCCGCGGGGTACTTGTCTTTCTCTTGTGGAAGAAATAAATAAATAATGTTTTTTTTAAATAAATTTTAAAAAACAAATAGAATCTGGCACATTCTTAAGATCTGAATGCAGATCTAATACAATGTCATTTCTAATATATTCTATTAGTCAAAATAGTCCCTGAGCTGGCCTAGATTCAAGGAAGGAGCATAGAAGTCCCATAATGAAGGTGGGACCATTTGTATTACTTTCCAAAGAATCTCATAGCAAATTACCACAAACTTATTCACTTTAACAACAGTTTATTTTCTCTCGTTTGTGGAGGCGAGAACTCTGAGGTCAGGACATCAGCGGTGCCAGACTTGCTCTGGAGTCTCTGGACATACATCCTTCCTCACATTTTCTAGCTTCTGATGGATCCTGGTGCTCCTGGCCTTGTGCAATATAGCTCCAATTTTGTCCTCTACCTTTACATAGCCCTCCTCTCTTTGTCCTTATCTGACCCTTAGAAAGAACATTCTCATTGACTTTAGAGCCCACCATAATACAGTATGATATCATCTTCATTGCCGTCATAATTACATCTGCAAATTCCCTACTTCCAAATGAAGTTACATTGTGAGGTTCTAGATGGAGAGAAATTTTGAGGAGACACTATGAAACTCATGCAACTCATTATGTAATCTATATTTCTCCCTAAAATAGAGGTTGTATAGAGGACCTAACACATGGATGATACAATATCGAGTACAAAATAGTGGAATATATGATGTGCAAGTTTTGCTAGGTAAATACCTCCTATTTATATACTATCTCTCCAAAACCATGATTTTCATAGGATTATGTCTCTTTCTCTGTTTTCACAGTGACATGAAAAAGGTTGGTGTCACCGTGGTTGGGCCACAGAAGAAGATCATTAGTAGCATTAAAGCTCTAGAAACACAATCCAAGAATGGTCCAGTTCCAGTGTAAAGTACAACTTCTGGAAGGAAGTGGTGGCTGTGGAAAATGTAGCATCCTTCTGTAGACAGACAATAGTGCTGGAGATATTGCTGGAAGTTTCAAGTCCTATAAGACACTCAGATATGAGTACAAATGCCTTAAAAATGGAATTGAAAAACTCTTTTTTCTTCTATTATTTAGTGGATGGATGGGTGGGTGTATTTTGGTTTGTAGTTGATTTTAATACTAGTTGATTGATTAAATTAAACCTCTTCAGTGCAAAGTGACAAAGAACTAGCCTAGAGCCATTGATCTGAAACTGACTATTAAAAAAAGTAGATGAAATAACAAAAAGGACATAGTGGCAGTATTTATGAATAGCCACAAATGAAAAGACTTGGGATATTTTTATACACAGAAGAAATCTGTTACAGGTATTTTGTTTCTTTAAAAGCAAGAAAAATAGAGGAATTTATACCTCAAGCTATCTGGCCATATTTACTACCTTATCATTGTATTATTCTCTTTTATCTGTTTAAAGCATATAGACATAAAGTTTGTAGTTGTTTTAAGTACTATACATTTTTTCCTTGTTAGCTTCCTTAAGTATGTCATGTAAAAAAAGTCTTTAATTTTTGAAAAAAAAGTACGTATTTATTTTCTTTTGAATTTTTTTATTGTTTTATATTTATGCTTTGATGATTTCATTTGGATTTGCTACAGCCAAGTGCCAAATGCTCTCTCAAATTGTCAGCAGTAGGAAACATGTTTAAAAAGACACAAAGAATGATAGGTTTCTTTCTAGAATTTTTGAACCATCCACTTAGTATTTTTTTTTAAATTAAATCTTTTTCTTGTCATATACTAAAAAGTCTATCACGGTCTGAATTATCCCATTCATTTTTGTCTCTCCATTTATTATAAACTCTATGTTAATTTAGTGTAATATACTGGCTTGTATGTAATGGATTTTCAACTACATGACATACCTTTCCTGCTTTGGTGCTTTGAGACCATCATCTCCCTTCAGGGCGAAGGAGCCATATTAAAACTCCTGAGAATAGCTACACTGGAAAGAATTGGAACCCTATTTAGGTAGCTGCATTAATTGGCAATACAATCTATAGGCCAATGCATGAGTAAAAACATCACTTGTTCACTTAACTTTGCTTAACCTTGCTGAGCTCTTTATAGGGAATGATGATAACTAAATTACCCATCTATATCACAGGGGTTTAGGTCAATTACTTAAACATTGCAATCATCAGTACTAGGTATTATCTTTAAGAGTCTTCCATTTCGATATACCTGTTGTGGTTTTGGTATATAATAACTTAGGTGAATCCAACTTCCTTAAGGTTATTCAACACATCATTTGTGGAATAGCTGGTCTCGTAGCAAATACCACAAAATATACAGGCAATCAAAAGATCTCTCATTGAAGGCATTTAAATTTACTCTTACTTAAAGGCCTAATATGAGCTTGCTCAGTATTATTTGAAAGGATGGTGGAAATTTAGCTATTAAAACATCCTGAAGCAACATATTAGCTCTGTCTATACTCTTTCTAATGCTAATGGGTATGAGAAATGCATATGTCATAAGAGTAGAATGGATAAAACAATGCTGCAATCTTTATGTTCTTATGCAAAATAAAGCACTATTGAAATAAAACTGAAAATTCCAGAAAATTCACATGTGCTAATCTGTTGTAGATTTAGTGCAATAAAGCTTAGATTGTGTTCTTCCAGGTAAGAGATTGTTCCTATAATGTTGGCAATATTCCTTATAGTCAAATCAAGCTACCAGAATACTGTATTGGATATACAAGAGCATGAACTTTTTCAAAAGATTAATCACAAATTTAACTTAAGCCTGCTACTACAGGTATTTTTTAATCAAGTATTTTGTGTTTTGGAATTTTAGAATGAGACCTGAATATGGCCTAAAACTAATTGTTTTCCAGACTTGCATTTACTTTTTCAGACACAATTCTGATCATACTCTACAAAGTAAGTGCTTTTCAGAAGCTAATTGAAGTTGGGTAATGTGGAATCTATTGACATTTCAAATTATTTTGGCTGTGGTTTCTGTTTGAAAATAGAGGTTGTATACACAGTATATTGCTCCTCATTTTTCAGTGTTTTTCTACTTGAGATCTTATAAATTTGCTTTACACAGTTCTTACCCTGTACATATGTAAACATAAGTGTACTATTCTTAACTGTCAAGTAGAGGTACTAGAGTGCTTATGGCCATCTCTTTTTACAGGAACAGCATTGACTTCAAATAATATGAAACCACAATTCCTTCACAATGTTTATGTACCATATTATCAGTTTTGTATCTTAAATTTGATTTGCATATATTATTTATTTCTGGTAACTCACTCAGTTTATGCTGTGCTAAGTATCAATTAAGCCACGTATAAATGTGATATGACTGACGAGATGCGTTTACTCTAAATTTGTCTTTTAAAAACATGACTCATCTAGTTTATGTTGTGCAGTGTAGATGGCCTCTTACTAATGTAAAATGATTTGTAGTGGAAACATTTATATTTTTATAATAAACATAATGAAAATATTTTTACAGATTGGAATACAGAAGTGGTCTTTGAAGCTTTTTTAACAATATAAAACATTGTTTTATTTAAATAGAAAAATAGTGAAATTTATATAAGTCATGAAAACTGTGCTTCTATCTCTTTTTCCTCAATTAGTGAGGAGGGATCCATCTTATATAATCCACATTTTTTTCTTTTGGTACATATTTTATTACTATAAGGAAAAAAAACACAAAACAGCTAACTGTTCTCATAGTTAATGAATACAACTGTATCAGGCAGTTCTCAGTAGATTATAAGTAATAAAAACCAAATAAGTTAGTTTAATACAAGAAGAAAATTGTAGGCCAACTTGTTGTTTTATGGTTTGAATCCTGAGCCTAGCTAATAAAGAAATACAGCAGGACCATTTGCATGTGTGCACAAGGTCCTGAAAGAAGGGAGAGAGGGTAGCGAAGCTATTACTGTGTGATCATACACATGGGGTACTTTCTTGATCTCCTTCTTTCTATGTCTCTCTCTTTGGTGAGTACACAGGCCTTCTGGCAAAATTTGAAAAAAAAAAAAAATAGCTCATATGATTGAAAAGTCTGTAAACTCCTTAACTGAGAAATCAGGCAAAGGTGGAACCAGGAGTTCAAGAAATGTCTTCTGGGTTAGGTTTCTACCATTTACCCTGTTTTTCTTCTAAGTTTGTTATTTTGTAGACAATATATTTTCATAAGGTAGAAAAATGATGCTCTGACTAATACAATTCTACATGGAAATTCTTGTGAAAATAATTAACTCCATTGTTCCAGTAAAAACCATGAGAGCTTTCTTGGGTCACCAGTCCTAGTACTCTTGGTCAGGAAATTCAAAACTCAGATTGACCAGTACTCAATTCTGTACATACACTTGGAGATTAGTGGGTGGGGTCATATGGAAGGGCACTCTACAAGGATTAGATGTGTCACAGTGAATTATGTCAGAATATTTTTTATGAAACAAAGAAGGAAGAGATTCCGTATAGGCCAAACAGAACAAATAAAAGTGAAGAACAAACAACTGCAACTACAAACCACACAATAGAACACACCTGATATTTTGTATAAGGTGCGTCCCCTGTCATTTGTGGTCTACTTAAAGAAAATTGTTACACATGAAAACCAAACAAGTTGATATAAAGTACATGCAAAATAAGACAGCTGATCAGATCAGTTCCTTGCAGCTTGGTGGTTAATGCAACCTAGCCCAGTGGCTTCAGAAACATGTGCATACATGCTCAGAATTCCCAAAATGAGGGAGAGATAGAAAAGAAGGAATTTCAGTGTGACCATGCCTTATGGAGTATTTTTTCTCCTACTCTTTCTCTCTGGGGAGTGCATGTGACCTCCAGCAAAAAAAAAAAAAAAAAAAAAAAAAAACAAGTGTATACACTTGGAGATTAGTGGGTGGGGTCATATGGAAGGGCACTCTACAAGGATTAGATGTGTCACAGTGAATTATGTCAGAATATTTTTTATGAAACAAAGAAGGAAGAGATTCCGTATAGGCCAAACAGAACAAATAAAAGTGAAGAACAAACAACTGCAACTACAAACCACACAATAGAACACACCTGATATTTTGTATAAGGTGCGTCCCCTGTCATTTGTGGTCTACTTAAAGAAAATTGTTACACATGAAAACCAAACAAGTTGATATAAAGTACATGCAAAATAAGACAGCTGATCAGATCAGTTCCTTGCAGCTTGGTGGTTAATGCAACCTAGCCCAGTGGCTTCAGAAACATGTGCATACATGCTCAGAATTCCCAAAATGAGGGAGAGATAGAAAAGAAGGAATTTCAGTGTGACCATGCCTTATGGAGTATTTTTTCTCCTACTCTTTCTCTCTGGGGAGTGCATGTGACCTCCAGCAAAAAAAAAAAAAAAAAAAAAAAAAAAAAAGTCATCAAGATTACCATAGAAATGAAATGGATTAGGGAGAGGCACAAAACAGTTCAGATTAGAGTTTCCTTGAAGGACAAATAACATTTGATCATGTTTAATGGACTAGAGAATAACTGTAAGTAGGAGATGAGCTAAGTAAAGAAGGAAGAGATATAAAAGAATATAGACTATTCGTTCAGTTACTATGTCTTAAGAACTTCTAGGAGAAAGGTGTTTTGCCGTCACCATTTACAAGCTATTTCTTTAACTATCTTGGAACAATTCTATGAATAGATATTACTTACTGTTTTTATTTATTTAAATTGTCAGAGGATGTGTGTGCTCACCAGAGATACAGTGAAAGAGAGAGAAAGCACTCTAAATAGGGGATTTTCATGCCACAATCCCTTTCCTCCATTTCTCCATCTCATAAATTGTGGAGAGTGGCCTATCTGAGGAAACATGGTGACCTTTAGACACATTTAGAAAGGTGATTTTGTGAGCTTTATTTGCATTAAATGAAAACAATTTACATGTGAATATGCTAACTGTCTGTTATCAAAACTGCAGAGCAGTATCAGTTGAAAAAAGATCACGTGTTCAATCAATATTGGCCTCAAAAGATCAGAGGAACTACATAGTGCCAATTATCTTCTCATCTTCAGCTGATTCACATCCTAGAATAATTGGTTTTCCATTCCATTTCCTCTTCTCCCACTTTCTGCTCTATGAAATGATAAACCTGGGACCAGTTCAGGGTCATGTCTATCTTTATCAGAGAAGTCAGGCCCACCAGCTCCTCACTTTTCTACACTTGTATGTCTTTATGTGTTTATTTTTATGTTTATTTCTAATCCACCACTCTTCCACACTCAAAAAAACTGCATTTTTTGGAGTGGGTCCCAGCAATTAGGATTTAAGGCAGGCACACAAGTGGGCCCAGTGTGTCTATTAAACCTCCAGAACTGGGACTTGAACTGTGGTTGGCCAAGTGGGATCCAGATCCCTACAAAGAGGGTTTAGTCACTGCTCTGTGGGAATAGCTCACCTAATACCCATTTTACACAGGGGGCTCTGTAGGCTCAGATTATCCCAGTCACTCTCATAAGGTCTCCCTAATATATAATAATAGATAAAGAGATATTTCAGACTGCAATCTTACTCCCAGTGTTACTTTCATTATATCATTGTTACCTTAATTTCCCAATGTTTTGGGGACAATAACAGTGACTATTTCCGAAAGTAGCTTGGGGAAAACTATAACATAAGTAGAAATTTATCTAGGTGTTCTAGGCATGAAGATATACATTTACTTAAAAATGACCATACTATTATATGAATAATGGAAGGCATACAAAGACAAAGAAAGGAAAGCTGTCAGAATTTACCAATTTGACATGAGAATTTTTTTAAAGGTAAGAATCAAGGCAAAACATAAAATATAGAGCCCAAAAGTTTTGAAAACGATGCCCCATTAGGGGATAATGAGAAGTCAGTTTCACTTCATAAATTTGCTAGATTTGGGAACCAGCAGTTAGCGTAATGGCTATGTCGCTGGACTCCCACGTAGTCGACCGCGGTTCGTGTCCCAGACCCGGTGGCTTAAAACTCACGCCGGGCACGTGTGCATGCGTGCCCAAGATCCCGAGAGGAGAATGGAGGAGAAGGGATTGCGGCGTGACCATCCCCCCTGGGGGGTGATTTCTCGCTTTCTGTCTCTATGTCTCTCTCTGTCTGTCTGGTGAGCGCATGCGCCCTACAGTGAAAATCTCTCAAAAAAAAAATTATAAAAAAAAATTTGCTAGATTTATACTGCTGGCCAAATATCAATAAGTTAATATGCATGGAAAATATGAATCTGAGTTACTAAAAAATAATTCAAGAGTAAACAATATACGTGAAGATGTCTTTGATAGTAAGTGAAGATCTACGTTGTATATCTTTATTTATGGCACATATAGACATATATAGACATATCTACATTTTAGAATGCCTTTATTAGGTTAATACTGGCTGCTATATAAGTTAAGTTCCCAAATATCATTAGCTTAAAATATTTAACATTTAATATTTTAAACACAGAATAATCGAAAGCAGGTGTTTGCCAGGTGGCCTTGTTTGCAGTAATTTGGAGCCTACAGTTGTTCTGTGTTGTAGTACGTGAGGTCTTAGAATCTTTTGCTTCCTGTCTTCCAAGTGAAAGGAGGATTGTCTTGTGTGGATTTTATGAGTTCTTCTGTAAGTGGCACATTTCACTTATCTAGTTCCATTGACTATAACACTATCACGCTGTGTGTGTAAGTGCAAGAGAATGTGAAGAAAGTATAGGCACTCCTTCATTAAAGAACAAGCTTCGATCCTAATACTTGGTCAATAAGTTGGAAGCTTAAATGTTGATGTCTTGTGGTGTCTCATGGGGCCACTGGGTATGTATTTGTCAATATATATCACATGACACCACACTAGAATGATGTCATTCTATTCATACAAGGAGTACACATTAGATGCACCAGAAAGCGAAAAGGCACACTGCAATAAATCTTGTCTAATTGTTATTATTTATACCAAATAATGAAAACATCTAAGGAAACACCAACTTGATGACTATAAGCAAAATATGTGGTCCTGTGTGACTGTGAACACAATAGTGTAGTGAAGGCTAACTGAATGCAGGAATGAGACAAAGAGAAAGGGGATTCTTGAAACTCCCTCACACAGACTGAGGAAATGAATTCCTTTCACTAGAGAACTGGTTGCAATTCTGAGTTATCCTTAAACAGGTAAGTTATTAAGGGAGGAGTGGCCGGAGTCTAACAACTTTCCTGTATATATATAGAAAATAAAAGTTTTTGGAAATTATATAGCAATCCCTGCCACAACACTTCTTTCCTTACATTTATAATATGGGCTCTTTCTAGGCTTTCTCCTACTTCCTGTTCCAATCCTTCACAGGCATTTCTGTCACCAAATGTTTTGTAAATCTAATTCTTTTTTTTTCCTGTTTCTTGCAAATCCTAAACTGTGACAATTCTAATGGAGACTAAACTGAAGACTGAAATGTCATC